GGCGCGCCGGGCCGGCCCCTGGCGGGCCTCCTGGCTTCCCAGCTGCTTCGGAGCTCGAGGTGTTTTGTTATTATTATTTTCGTGAAGGCCAGGCCCGCCGGAGGCCGAGCCCGAAGGGCGCCGAGGCGTTATTGGGGGGCAGGGGCGGCCGCCGGGGCCCTGCTCGCCTGTGGCACGACTGGCGGGCGCCGGGCTGCCATTTTGTCACCGTGGCTGTTGTCGCTGTGGGGGGGTGTGCAGAGTCTTGCGCCATCGCCCCGACGGCCCCGGACGTGGAGGCAGCAGGGGAAGCCGGCTCCGGGGACCCCGGGTTGTGCTCTGGGCCCCGAGGGGGGGTTCCCTCCCCGCGACAACGGCCTGAGGCTCTGCTGGAGCGTCGCGGCGGCGGTCGCCCTGGGAGGGCGGCGATCCTCTCAGCAAGTGCTCCCCCCCACCCCCCATCGCGCTCCCTATCTCCCCCGCCCCTCTTCTCGCCAGTGTTTCGCCCTTCCTCCCGCTGGCGTTTTAGACATAGTGAAATGTGGCCCTGAAGACGTGCTGGTCGCCCCGGAGTTTGCTCTTTCGGAGGAACTGATAGGAGGGTTGGGGGAAAAATTAAACATGAGGTTTCTTTTTCGGGAGGGGGGCGCGCGCGCGACTCTAGCGGCCCTGACTGGAGCCAAGGACAGCAGCCGCTTACCCGGGAGGGACGAGTTGTCGATGTGTTGGGGAAACGCCCTCCGGGGCTGGGCTCTCCGGGAAGGTAGGTCGCGCTCCGGGTTTCAGGTGGGTGTTGCAGCGCCCTGCAGTCTGCTAGGGGAGCCCCCTCCCCCCGTCTTCCTCTGCCCCTCCCCCTTTTATTTTTTGCCTTGGGGAAGGCAGTTTACGGTAGTAAACGTCACCCTAAACCGAAAAGGGAAGGGAATAAGGCTTGCTTTTTAAAAAAGTAAGTGATGTCTTTCTGCCGACCGCCTTTCTGCGTCACGTCTCTGGCTTCTCTCCGGGACTTTTTAAAAGCCGATGTCAGCGCTGGTTAAGCACCTCACTGGTTAAAGTCTGGTGTCTGCATGAGACTAGCTTTGATGGCAGTGCCCGGCAGAGGCTGCCCAGGAAGCCAGGTTTTAACTTTGACCTTTGGAATACGTCGCATGATGTTTTCCAGGCTGACTTACTGCCTAATTGGGTTCATGTAGCCTGATATTAACTCCAGTTTATGCAAGCCAACCAAGGATCCCCAGGCAGAAGACTGAGCTCCAGCTCGGTTTGGTCATGGTCGGTTATGTTTTGTTAATGGATGTGCTGCTGCTGCTGCTGCTGTTAGTTTCGAGTCTGGGGGCTCCATCGTGAAGCTGAGTTTTGGAGCCCCCACGGACCTGAGTTTGAATTCTGACTGCTACAGAGAGGTAGGATAAGTTAACCTCCTCTTTGAACTTTAGTTTCCTCACCTGTAAAAGGGGGGTGGTGATCTGGTTTAATGAGTAAGTGACAAAAGTGGCTCGATCTGGATCTGGCCCTCAGGTGCTCAGTATGTGATAGTGTTATTGGAGAGAGAACTGCCGTACCATGAGGCACAACTTTGAGCTTCTCTCTGGTTCTGGACAACAACAACAACAATAATAGTGAATGCTCACACAGCCCCACCCTGTGCCTGGCACAATTCTAAGTGGATTAGACAGATGAATTAAACTAGTCCCCACAGCAGCACTGTGAGGTAGGTACTATTGTTATTCTCGTATTACACACAGGGAAATTGAGGCAGAGAGAACTTACCACAGGCAGTCTGCATACTCCGCTTCTTAGTCTCTGTTCCCTCCCCTGAAGCACCCTTTTTTGTCAGACACCGAGGGGAAGAGCTTTTTCTTCTCTGGCTTTAAAACAGTGCCACCTTATGAGGGATTGAGTTTCCTGTCACTGAAGGTACCGACATGAACCCGGGATGGCCTCCCGGTTGGAGATACTGAGGTGGATGGTCAGGACCAGGGGCTCTGATACAGGGGAAACTGTACACTTTCTGAGTTTGGTTTAGAACATCACATCTGTTTAGGCTGAAATAAGTCTGTCCTTTTAGGTGTTGGAGTATACATTTTGGGTAATGAGAAGACTCTTAGGCAGTGGTTTGTATGGGATTTTGCATGTAATGCATTTTCCATTTTTGTCACCATCTACAGCCAGAAAACTGAAGAGAATTGGCATGGCCTCTGTACCTAAGATGCAGTATACTAATAACAACTCAAGGATCATCTCCCTTAGTTCTCCTTAACAACTCGTCAAGGTTAGGCAAAGCAGTGTGACATCCTCCATGTTGCGAGGGTGGTCACTTTATACAACAGAGTTGAGTTCTCGTCCCACCGTTAAGCCAGGGGCCCCTTTAGTTGGACAGTAGGGACTCTTGAGAGTTGTGTGGTCCATTAGGTCCCAAACATGGCCCCTCATCAGAATCATCTGGGGAGCGTGTAAAATGCAGATCCCACAAGGGTCGTGAAATTCAGGGTGAGCTGCCTGCTTCAGTATCATGAGCTAAGAATAATCTGGACACAGAAACGTTGCAATCAATGTGATGATGTGGAACACTTAACTTTGAATCTCCATTAAGTGAAATGTTATCCCCCCAAAAGAATTCCACTTGTCTTGTTAGATGGTTATAACCCTTCCACCCCCCAAATTGTATTCATTATAGATCTTGAATTTTGTCAATAAAAGAATTGTGGAAAGTTGTTTTCTGTCATTATAAAAGTGCCTGTGTAGTATTGTTAGTTTTGTCTCTAGATAAAGTTTATTGTCTGGCCTTTTACAGAGAAAGCTTGGTGATCCTTGTTTGGGGGCCGGTGGGATCGGGATCTGGGTGGTTTTTTTTAATTATTTTAAAATTTTTTATTAAACATATGGCAGGCCATTCATTTGGGTGGTGCTTTAGGAGTCTTTCCAAGGTTTTCTTTGTGTGCCCTTTAACTAGTTGATGCCTCGTGGAAATCAACCTCGTTACCAGTTTAGAATTGAGTGTCCCTTCCATCTAGAAGTTCTTCTGTATAACCAACTAAAATTTCTCCGGAGTTTTGCAAAAGGTTTTTGCATATCTTGTAGTTAAATAGTTACTCTTACATTTCAGATGTCTTCTTAGGGCTTTGGGGCCTGCAGAAGGTGCAGCAGCTGTGTCCTCCATGGCCGACATCAGACCCTCAGAACACAGGTCATTGAAAGCCCCAGATGATCCTGCAATCTCTGGTTCTGCCCTGCTGCTCTCCCACCATGCATGTTTCCTGGGGAACATACCAGCAACAAAGTGGCTTTGAGTTTCAGCTTCTTTCTGCCTCTAGCCTTTCGTGCTTGAGCTAATGAGCAGAGGGAATAGAAATAAGATTGGCCAGACCGAGGGGAGGAGGGAGATGAATTCAAGGGGAAGAATTCCAGTTCCCATAAGTTTGGCATGTACTTTAAGGACAGCAGGCCGAAGACCCAGTTCCCTGTCTTGGCCGCTTGTGCACCCCCAGCCTTTCAAGGTGACTCCCTCTAGACTTAACACAGTCCTTCTTATTTGTAAGACAGGCACCTACCTTAGCTTTGGGGGCTGATCATCCCAGAGCTTCAGTCCAAATGAATGATACCACATTGAAATAAGAAACTTGGGGCTGTGGGTGACCCTTTATGGGTATTGTATATAGGATACTCCACAGACCCACCCCACTACCTTGGTGTAGTCGCTTGGGAGAGGAGCTCAGAGCTTGTTGCTGAGTGGTGATGAACCCTGGTCGAATGAACTTGGCCCAGTTGTTTGGCCTGAATTCTGACATGAAGAGGAGGCTCATTACTCTGGTGTCCAGAGGGGGCCCCTCCCTTCCAAGATGGGCGCTACCATACCTCCCCACCCCGTTTTGACCTGCCCACCCCCTGCTCACGCTAGTTGTCTAGTCTCCCAGGAAATATACCCCATCAGTCCCCCATCACCACTACATTCTTCCCACAAATACAGGGAAACAGGGACCTGACTTTGAATCTTATAATCTTATGTTACATTGAAATACAATCGTACAAATGATAAATACCCAACAGTGGTGTTTTCATTAAAGAGATGGAGTCTGGCAGGGATGGAGAATTGTGAAGGCATCTGTTATTCAGGACTTGTCATTTAATAAAATTTGTTGAAACAAGACGAGCAAAGCACCCATGGCCCTGGGCCACCTGCCCGGACATGGAAACAGCCTCCTTATATAGAACCAGTTGTCCTGATGATATTTGTTAATACAAAGTCTGTAAACAAGATAAAATATCTTTGTTCTGCCACACCAGGCCCTGTCTTGTGCCCACTGGGCCACACCCTGCAACCCCCATGTTTCCACTCAGATTTATTTTGTTTTAGCCCCACAGCTGCCCTGGTGTGCTCATCTATCTTCTTTACCAGAACTTGCTCTGGGCAGCAGATCTAAAAGATCAGCTTACTTGCTCCACAGTCACTTACCCTAATGTGGATTAAAGTCAAAGCTGTCTTTCCCAAAGATGTTTGTGTTTGGAGATTCCGGTCTGGTGAGGAAGTTAGCAGAGGACTATTAGAGACTTGTGTGCTGTTCTCAGTTTTGCCACTAACTTGGACAAGCTGCTGGGTTTCTTGGGGCCTCTGTTTCCTCTGCTCTAAAATGGGAGTATTGAATTAGATTGGTGGCTTTCACACTTCCTGATCCTAACATAAAAATACGTTCCACACCACTACCCAGTGTGTATATACTGACAGGTTACACAAAACAATGACAAGGTGCTTCCTTACTCCATGGAAAACACTTCTGTTCATTAAAAAAAAAAAAATAGTGTACTGGCTTTGACCCACAAATTGATCACATTGCTTGTGATTATTTGAGAGACATTAAAAGATGAGTATTAAGATTCCTTCACACTCAAACATCTTGCGGTTTGATTTGGGAGAATGAGAGAATGCCGTTGGTAGCTCTGTGAAATCCCTCCAGGTCAATAGCGATTTCTCCTGCTTTTAAGCCAGCTCGTCCCTGGGTCCCCATGTTCTCAAACTGCACTCCTTTGGTTTTGTTCTAGCTCTTTCCCACCCCAAACCTTCTCATGGCGTTAAGGAATCCTTATCCTAAATTCCTACCCCAGGTGGATGCCTTCCAAGGTTCCTGGTTATGCCGGGAGCCCCCAGCCAAGCATGCCCCCCTTCTCTGCACACTCAGCCACCGGGCTCCCTCCATCCTCTGTGTGCCACACACTGTGCAGGTTGCCCGCGGACTCCCACGTTTTCCAGCGCGGAGGAGAGACTGTTGGGGAGAGAGGAGAGTGCCTTTGGCTCCTGCTTCCGCGCAGACTACCTGGGTGGTGCATCCTGTCTCCCCCACTTGCAGCCACGGCACTTCTTGTCTCTCCGCAAAGTGATGATAGAACAGTACCTAGTGCATAGTAAGCGCTCAGTGAACGGTAACCGTTATTGGTATCATGGTCGGTTCCGCTGGAGCACCATCGTCGGCATTCACTTAACACACACACACACTAACAACAGACACGTCATATTAAAAAGTCACATTTGTTTCAGTGAGAAAAGAGGTTAGAAGCTAGAGAGTCTAACTTGGCAGACGTCTTTTTCCCCACAAGCAGTTCAATAGTAAACGTGTTGTTTCTAGATGTGCGTATAGCTGTAGCATCTCCAGCCCGTGGAGCTGCCCCAGCACCGGACCCCAGGCGGTTGCTAAAGAGGGTAAGGTCACCGCCCGCCCTCTCCCTGGCTGTGCCCTTGCTCACTGCCCAGGGCAGCTGCATTGGACCCCCTCCCGAAACTGCGCTCCAACCCTGCCCCCTTGGCCTCCGGGCCACCCCCTCACCTCTCACAGAAGATCCACACCTGGCTTCTGAAGAAATGCCTAGCCGGAATCCGTGCCCAGCTCAGCTCCGCCGTCCTCGGGGTCCAGTCCGCTCCTGCTGCTCAGGTCCCTTTTGCCTCCTGGGCCCCTGAGCCACTCTGATCCTTTGGTCCCTCTCAAGCTTCATGTTTCTCCCATCTCAAAGCAAACAGAAAACCTGGCTTGATTCTTCCGTGTCACTGTAGCTGCTGCCTAGCTCTCTCTTCCCTTTTACAGTCAGACTTCCTGAATTGTCTAGAACCACCTTCTCCGTGCCCTCTCTTCTCTCACACCTCAGCCCTCCCCCTCTGGTTGGCTTCCTAAACAGCTCCAGAAAGACCACCTCACTGTCTTCCTGACCTTCCTCAGCAGTGTCTGCACCCTTGACCTTCCTAGAGCCGTTCCCTCTTGTTCTCCCTTTCTCCAGTACGTCTCCTACAGCTCTGGCCACTCCTTGTTTCTGGGGTCCTTTGCCCTCCTCTGGGTGGCCATGAAGTATTGTGCTCGGGCGGGCCTGGGCCTTGGACCCTCTCATTCTGCATTCTCCCGCCCTGACCGCGGAAGGGACCGGGCGCTGTCTGCGATCTGACGTGGGCCTCCCAGCCCCGAACTCCTGGCTCAGCTCAGGACCCACCCGATGTCTCCACCGGAGTGTCCAGAAAGAACCCCAGGCCTCTGTCACCTCCATCCTCCCGCAGATGCACCCATGATCTTCTGTCTGTCACAAGGTCCTGTCTATTCGAAATACTGTCCTCTCCTGCCTGCCAGCCGATGTCCCTGCATCAACAGCCCCCTTGAGCCATGCTTCAGACTTCAGCCAGCATGCTCTCACCAAAACACAGATGTAATTGTGCCGCCGTGCTTCGGATACATAGTGTTCTTCGGAGACCATCCAAGAGCCTTACCAAGACCTTCCTCAGGTCCTGCGTGGACTGGCCATGGCGTGCTCTCATCCTTTCCCTCACCGCCTTTATTCCTGCAGAACTACTCTGGGCCATGACTGCTACCGCTTAGCATCTAATTGTCTCCACCAGCTCCCTCACCCTCCACCCTCCTCGGCTCTGGGTCTGGTTCTTTTGTTATGAAACTCTTAGAGAAATTTCCTTCACAGAGCTTCAGTTGGTAATTATACATACTTGAACGTGAGTGTTTGCGTGAGCATTTCTGTCCCCCTGTGTAGCCGCATGGTTTAAAGGCCCCGTTTTTGGTACACGGCACCGTGTACCCTCAGCACAGCACTGCCCTTGGCACATGGTGGGCATTCTAGAAATGTTGGTTGAATGAAGAGACCAGGGTGCTTGCATGTTCTTGTCATCGTCATCACCTTCTGTCTGGAAAGCCAAGCACAAGCCCCTGAAACAAAGCATCGGAAAGAATGTAGGGTTTGGTTACCCGCCCCCCCCACCCCCGCCCTGCTCTCCCCTGGGTGAGTGAGCTTCTGCCTTTGGGATGGTGATTCACGCTTTCTTAGTACCCTGTGCTCCTCAGATTTTTCTGGTTCTTACAGCCCTAGCGTAAAGAATTTGAACCTCGGCCCGAGTTTGTCTACCTTTTAGTTAACGGGTTGTTCACATGCACCATGTGTACATGTGTACGTTATAAAACACAACACCAACAAAATTAAACCTCAGAAGCAGACATCAAAAATATTTAGAAGTCCTAATATTTTCTTGCTGCAGGTCAGTGGATTGTGTTGGCCGGTCCACTCAGGAGACTACTCTTCTAATCTGTGGCTGGTTTTATTTTTAATTTGGTCATGAAGGTCCGTGCTGTGTAAGACATGCCTGTATGTTACCCAGCACTCTGTCCTTACGCAGAACTTCCCAGCTTTGGTGTGTGTGGTGGGTTAGGGGTGGAGAGCATTCTTAACCCTTCCG